CAACTGTTCAGCTAATTCTAGCTCTTGTTCTTCTAATTTTAGCTCTTGTTTATCTAATTTTAGCTCTTGTTCTTCTAATTTTAGCTCTTGTTTATCTAATTTTAGCTCTTGTTTATCTAATTTTAGCTCATGTTTTTCTATTTTTATCTCTTGTTTATCTAATTTAAGCTTTTGTTTGATGAAACCTTCAGGTTTCAGTTACTTATTTATAATCTGAGTTTAGCTGTTTTAGCTGTTTGAAAAGCAGCCCCTCTCCTCAGACATGGTGTTTGCAGATGAGCCGAAGGTCTCTGCACCTTCCTGAGGTCTTCGTGCAGCAGGTTGAGCAGCTGCAGCAGCAGCTCCTGGGCGTCCTGCTGACTGTAGTTGTTGAACTGGGGCAGGACCGAGCTCAGAACGGACCGGGTCTCGATCGGGGCGCAGATGGCGCTGCTGCCCAGCCACATCTTCTCCAGCAGCCGAAGGAAAACCTCGGCCACGCGGCACCTACACCTGCAGGACCAGAGGGGGCTCGGGTCAGTGGGCCCATCAGGTAACCGGCTGGAGGTGGGCGAAGGACCTACTTGGTCAGCTGTCTGCGGGTTTCTGGGTTCAGCAGGTGTTCCACCAGAGGAACCGAAGAACTCAGGCACTGCAGAACCGCGTTCAGGTAGCAGGAGTTCCCAGAGTTATCTAGTCCACAGACCCCGGGTCGGTTCCAGCTGGACTGGAGTCTGGATCCAGACCTGCTGCTGGTCTTCACCTCATCCATCAGCTGGTTGCAGCTTCTAGGGTTTGACCTGCAACAAAAACTGAACCATGGACCAGAACCACAGAACCAGAACCAGAAGAAAGAAAAACAGAACCACGGACCAGAACCAGAACCAGAACCAGAAGAAAGAAAAACAGAACCATGGACCAGAACCACAGAACCAGAACCAGAACCAGAAGAAAGAAAAACTGGTTTTAACTTGAAAAAATATATTTCTGTACTGATTTAGTGCAAGCACACAAAAACTAGCTGAACAGAAGCAACAACTAGCAAAACACTAGCTAAAAGCTAAAAAGAACGAAAAACAAGCTAAAAGCTAAAGAACAGTAGCTAAAACATAAGAGTGCTGGGAGGCTGTATACAGACAGCACAGAACTAGCTGACCCCTTTAGCATTATTGTAGCTAAACGTAGTAAAAGTAGTCAAAGTGGCAAAAGCACAACTAAAAGCTAAAAGTAGCAGGCAGCTAACAGCTAATTAAATCAAAATCTAGCAAGAATCTACATGTATCAAAAAGCTAAAAGTATTCATAGTCAGCAAGATGCTAAATGTGTTAAAAGGCTGTTTAAAATCTAAATACATCAAAAAGATAGCAAGAGGCTAAATGTAGCTAAAAGCTAAATGAATTAAAAGCTACCTGTATATAAAAACTAGTTAAAAGCTAAATACATCAAAAACTTAAATGTATCCACAGTGAGCTAGAAGCTAAAGGTATAAAAAGACTAGCTAAAAGCTACATGTATCCACAGTGAGCTAGAAGCTAAAGGTGTAAAAAGACTAGCTAAAAGCTAAAGCTAGAAGATGAAAGCAGGAGAAACTTTATTCTACTTTTTAATAAAGTTAATTCAAACTCGGTACCTGGGTTTAAAGAGGTTTGGTAAACTGGKCTCCTGGTACGAGCAGCTGTAGAGTCGTGGCAGAACTGGGACCCTGGTCCCACCSTGGTCCACAGACAGTCCAGAGACCAGAGTCCTGGTGAACTGAGCCAGCGGGACCCTCCTGCAGGAGCCCAGGCTCTGCAGGGAGTGCAGCACGTAGGTGTTGATGCAGACCATGTGCAGCGTGGTCCAAAGTCCTGGAAGAAAGACCTCGGACCTGGACTCTTTCAGGTCTGGGTGCAGAACCAGAGCAGGTCCAGTCCAGCCTTGAAGATGGGCRCAGAGGTTTGAGTCCTCAGAAGCTGGGGGGTCCTGATTGTGTGGGACTGATGAAGATGATGGTGGACTGGTAGCTTCTCCTTTCACAGCTGGATCTAAGTGAATACTGAGTCCTGGTCCAGAGAGGACCGTTTGGACCCTGCAGGTAGAACCGTCCAGCTGGACCTTGAGGTTTTGGCTGCAGAAAGGTCCCAGCAGATGTTGGACCACCTGCTCGACCACGGGTCTGGTCCTCAGCTTCTGGAGCTCAGGTCTGTACAGAAACATGTTACAGATGAACCCAGAACTCGGGTCGCACAGAACCGCCAGCTGGACCGGGCAGAGACCATCCTGGTGGGTCAGGGTGTACTTCTTCACGGCCAGGCTGGGACCCGGTCTGTGGAGGGTCCGGTAGCGCCGACACAAATGGCTGCAGAACGCAGACAGAGCTTCCAGCTTGTCCTCGTCCTCCAGCCGGGTCAGAGACAGGAGACGGGTCTGGATGCTGTTCCTCTTCAGGACTCTGTCCAGGTTTTGGGTCAGATCAGAACCAGAGCTGCAGTCCTGCCCTGGAGACACACCGGTCTGTAGGACCACAGAGAACCATGTCAGAACCTCGCTGTAGTCCTCATCAGAGACATGGCAGATCCTGTCTCTGCTCAGTGAGGGTCTACAAGGTCCAGGAGACCTCCTGATCARCTCCAGAACCGCCTCCTTATCCAGAACCTCCAGGAGCAGTTCTCTGGCCGTGTGGTAGACCTGGTAAGGGGGGTCGGTCTGGACTTTTGTGAGGGACTTCACCTTGTTGGACCTGAAGATGTTCGGTAAGCAGAGGTTCTCCTTCTGTGGGTCTGCATGGATCTGGTCCTCTRGGTGGGCCTCCTCTGGAGTCCAGCTGGACCCCTTCACCGTCAGAACTTGGGCCTTCATCTTAGTTTGTAAAGACAAGAAGAATCCCAAACCAGGGTCCCGTCAGAACCACAACGTTGGACCTGAACTCATCAGGAGACAAAAAGGCTGAAGAGGTTCTGGTCCTGAGTGGACCCGTCGGACCACAGAGGCTCCTGTAAAGCTGAAGAGGTTCTGGTCCTGAATGGACCCGTCGGACCACAGAGGCTCCTGTAAAGCTGAAGAGGTTCTGGTCCTGAATGGACCCGTCGGACCACAGAGGCTCCTGTAAATGTTCTTCACTGAGACACTCAGGAGGATCTGCAGCTCAGGTAACACACCTGGGACCCCCTGGGACCACCAGCACCTGGGCAACGGTCCTGACGACCAACAAACACAAGATGCTTTCAGCTGCAGACAGGAAACAACAACTTGTTTTGTTTTTGTTTGTTTTCAACACAACAGGAAGTTGAAGCTTCAGCTGTTTTCAGCTTTGACTCATTTAAAACAGATTAACTTTATAAAACTTTATTTACAGAATATATGAACTATTATG